TGAGTGGTTAAGAAAAGTGAAAGGAGATGATGGGGTGATTGAATAACAGATTTAGATGGATATTTGAAGAGAAGGTTGCTTTGGTTTTTGATGCTATTATGAACTCCTTCACTGGTCTGGTCCTCACTGGTAACGTGTTCCTTCAGCTATTTACTTGCCTTCTCTTTAATTCACTTCTTGTTTTGGACACTGAAAGTGACTCCCAAATATGAATTGTGAGATTCACTCCTCACAACTTAGCATGGCTTAGATTATATATCTTCTTCATATTTACTAAAAAAGAGCAATCTCATCTTTGCAGTTGAAAAAGAAATTGTGAACATTGGTTTTTTTTAACATTATTTTCACAAATATTTTCAAGGCAAAAAATGATTCTTGTTAGAGATAATATCAACCAACCCAACATTAGCATTAATTAGAAACAGAAAAGGCTTCAAGTTCCAAAGTGGTGTTCACCGGAGAGGAACATGTTGAATGATAGGTCAAGGAAGCAGTGATTACTTGTGGGAGAGGGTGAAATAGAAAAATAGTTACAGTACCACTTATGTTATTTCTTTCTGAGGATGCAGATTGCAGGAGTAGGAGGAGTGTTGTACTGTTTTGACCACGTGAAAAATCATTACAAATTTCAATTAAATAATTGCAAATGCAGGATTCTGCAGTCTGCTTCTGCAATCTGCATCGATCCAAGTGAGCAGCTTCAGAAAACTTGCGTGTATGCAAAGGGACTTTAAATCCAGCTCCATTTTCTTCACTCTGCTCAACAACAACAAAAAAAACAGAAGTCCATGTTTTCACACCAACAGCAACACATATGGCTCAGTTGTACGTTCGCTATATTATATGAAAAAAATTTCTTGTCAATAAAAAGTGGTTGGCTTACTAAGAAAGCACAAAACAATTCGTATTTTATAAGAATGTGAGTTAAATTGAATTTTATGGTCTTATGGTTGTGAATTTTGTTATGATTCTACAAAAAATCGTTGAATTTGAGATACAAAAAGCTAAATTTTAGTTGTGAATACCTCAATTTGAGTTGTTTATTTACACTAAAATAATTGTATTTGGTGGTTATAAATTCTTTCTTGTAAATCGCTGAATTTAGTTATAAATTATCAAATTTGGATTTTTAGTTGTGGAATATGAATTGTTTATTCACTTATAAAATTTATGAGGATTGACAATTCCAATTTGGTGATTTAAAAAGAATAAAACAATGGTATCTTTTTCTTTTCACCTGTGAAATTTTGTTCTTTAGTAATGCAATGAACTTTTAGAATTTTTTCGGGCTGACTAATATTAATTATCTAGGTTAAATGAAATTTTCCCATTTTTCTTTTAATATTAACGTTTTATATTCAATTCATTTCAATTTTTTTAATTAAGGAAAACAGATGTTTTATGGAGTTTATGTTGAAATTATATTAATAAAAAAAATTGCAAATTACAGTGAACGATCTGAGCCGTACCTAAAAGTCCGGGAAGTAATCTGGCAGCCATGCAATTCCGGCCGAATCACATGCACATGTAACTCCCTTTCACATAAAGGGGCATATTACCCGTACTTAACTCATACTTTGTTCTATTCTTATTTATGCCCCAGTCAAAATGAGCTTGGACCCTAATCTAAAGAGAGTGGGAGATAACCCAATGTATACTAACAAAAGAATTTCATAAAATAATACGTGGACATGCATGTTTATGGCATTTGATCTCCCCGTGTACTGTATTTGTTGGCAAATGCAAGCGGTGTTTCATTGTTCCTTGCTCACAATCTGAAACCTGACACATCTGGAATTTAGTATTAATAGTAATGAATAAAGAAACATATGTGAACGAGAACGTGTAAAAGAGCTAGGCCTGAAGAGTGTACACATCCACAAATGGCCATCAACAACGCGTACGTGCCTTGCATGCAAATTGGCCACTTGTCCCTAAGATTCCCATATTTGTTGCTATAAGCTAAGATAGGAACAGATCAAACACCATCTTAACAGATCGTACAGAGATGGCACAAGCAAGTGATCAAGCAATTAAGCCACATGAAGAGCTAAACTCACAGTTTTTTAAGCTTCTGAGTGGACATACCATACCTGCTGTTGGACTGGGTACTTGGAAATCTGGTTCCCAAGCTGTCAATTCTGTGTTTCTCTGCCATTGTTGAGGTAATTGTCTTTACTATTCCTGTCTTTTTAGCAGTTCCATCGCTTCATGATCTTCTGTTTAAGAACATGTAGATCTTGGGGCACGAAACAGTACAGTATAACCAAACAAAGTTAACTTATTACATTCTTTTGTGACAATCACGTGGAATCTGATAGATGGCTCACTTGCAGGCTGGCTATAGGCACATCGACACTGCTTGGGAATATGGTGTTCAAGAAGATGCATCATTATATCATTTTGGCCTTTCTTCAACTGTTTCGAGATGGATTCTGATATACTAAAACTTTCTATTCAGATAATGAACTAATTTAAAAACAAACATTAGTTTTGTGTCTCTTCAATATCTCCCTGTACTACAGGTTGGACACGCACTTCAGTCTGCCATGCAAGCAGGAGTGAAAAGGAAGGATCTGTTTATCACCTCCAAACTATGGTAATGTAATCTATTATTATTGATGGCATGTCCATTCATATCAGGTATAAAATTGGTTGGCCTAATCCAAATTTAGTTGGCCTAATAACGCCTTAAAAGTTTCTATATTAGCCCAAATCCGGACACTAATGAACCTATATAGTTATAGGACATAGGTAGTTATTGTATGGTTAAAAATATGAATTTGTCTGGAATTGGACAGTCGAATGAAACATTCATGTTATTGTGTGTGTGTGTGTGTGAAACCCAAACTATATGCAGGTGCGCTGATTTGACCCCTGAAAGGGTTCGACCTGCATTCACCAACACACTCCAAGAACTGCAACTTGACTACCTTGACCTTTACTTGGTAGTATAATTTAACCTTCTCTTGTTGTTATGCTTTCTTCTTCTGCCTGATTATTATTACGCTAAGTATCAGTCTTTTTCTTTTTCCATGATAAGATCAGAAAGAGGGACCTTAATCAAGTTGATGTACAAAAATGCAGATTCATTGGCCATTTCGTCTGAAAGATGGAGCCAAAAGACCTCCCCGTGAGGGAGACGTGTTGGACTTTGACATGGAGGGGGTATGGAGAGAAATGGAGAAACTTGTGACGGATAAACTTGTTAGAGACATTGGAATCTGCAATTTCACTCTTAAAAAGCTTGGTAAACTTCTGGGTTTTGCTCAAATAATGCCTTCAGTTTGCCAGGTGATGATTCATACGTGCATTTATGTCATTGTGCAATAATACTGCTTTTTGTTTCATCGAATCATGGAGATTGATACGAATGCAAGCAATTTATTTAGTTGAATGGTTTGACCTAGATGGAGATGCATCCTGGGTGGAGAAATGACAAGATGCTTGAAGCATGCAAGAGGAATGGAATCCATGTCACTGTAATTATTCAATCGTCTAGTGCCTTTTTCTTTCTTTTTTGTATTAGCATTTAATGTTTCCGTAAAATATAATGTCAATATTTGGAGCACTAAAATTTTTGTGTAGGCTTATTCACCACTGGGGTCACAAGAAGGTGGGAGAGATCTGATCCATGATCCAACGGTGGATAGGATTGCCCAGAAGCTCAACAAGACTCCAGCTCAAGTGTTGGTGAGGTGGGCCATTCAGAGAGGGACAAGTGTCATCCCCAAATCAGCTCATCCTGAAAGAATCAAAGAAAATATTGATGTTTTTAATTGGGAAATTCCAGAGCATGACTTCATTGCTCTTAGCAGCATATCACTTCAGGTATTAATACGATTCTTCTGAGATAGTCCTGTCGCTGGGGTTAATAGCTGTTGAGAATCAGATGGCACACATGTAATTACGTATCAATATATTTGAACAATGGGGCTATTGGTGGATGCAGAAACGAGTTCTAGATGGTGAAGAGCTGCTTGTGAACAAGTGTGAGGGGCCATACAGGAGTGTTGCAGACATCTGGGACCATGAAGACTATTAGTGACCGCTTTTCCTATTTCCTTTTTCTCTTTTCTATGGTTGTTCTATATTGTTGCTTTTAAGGGACTAAAATGACTTCATTTCAAAGTTGTAATTTTAGCGCGAGCCCTGTGTGCGTAGGGTGTAGACATTGAAAATCTGTCGAGTCTCTTTTGACTTTATAATTGAAGTGTTTATTGGTTTATAATTGAAGTGTTTCTTAAAAGCATCAATACCTTTAAAATCTTTTTATGCCAGAGGGTTCTTTCCTTTTAAGTTCATAGTTCTGCCCAGCTAGAATACCCTGATTTATCTGTAACACGAGTGCTTATTTGGCCGTGAAATAAGAAACTTACATTTTTGGTGTACGTCCATCGCATGCTTTTAACTGAGAGAATGAAGTACCGATTGAGAACACCAAGAAACCAAAACCTAATTATAAAACTTTGTTTGTAGAGACTACAAACAAAGTCTCATAATTAGGACTGGAGGTAGTAATTACGATATGAGAATACTTCTATAATGATGTTAGTCTCTGGCAGAGTTCAAAGACCCGACTGTGATATCCAGTTATCTTATAAACATATCTCAGGTGTTCTTGCAAATATGCAAACCTAAAAATGAGACCACAAGCAAAATTTTGAGCTGAAATAAATGTTATTGATATTTGTATCGTATTCCTCCATTCAGAACAGGCATAACAAGCTATAGAGCTATATATATTTGACACAGGTCTGACAGCTGATGACAGGCATTATGGGTTTAACATTGTTGCTCTCATTTCTCTCTAGTGGTAAATGCAAACATTGTCCGCTATTATGATGTATATATCTGTTTAACTCACTTTTCAACCCCTCTATTTCAACCTAATAATACAACTAGAGGCCCAACCTTTGGCTATTAATAACTTGCCAAAAGGTCTCTCTCTAATTCACTGAAAACGAGTTATTGGTCTTGAGGGGCTAGTTACGGCTGAACTAGAGAACTTGAACACCCTCAAGAAACTCAGATGGATCCCTTCTGCTCACATCCCTGATGAGGCCAGTAAATTTCGATATGGTGTTGGCTCTGGACAACCCTTTAAGAGCTACCCATTCATCCTTCGACATTGAACTATCTACGCTTGTGGTGTCTTCATTTCTAGCAGATTCATAGTGATTCTTCCTTCGGCGCCTATTTTTCCCAGATTTGGATGGGTCTGGTTGGTCTTTCAGAAAAAAACATATGGCTGCACAATCATCAACCATGGCACCAGGAAATTTATACCTCCATGCCTGCACAGCTCTCTTCACTAACAATCTCGCTGCTCTGGACCTCCTTGGTGCTGAAGCAACTATTTCTATAACTTCATCATTTGTCAGTGCATCCCAAACCTGCCAAACAAACAAATTAAGTTCATTCCTGCTTGGAATTTGTCAAAAGCAGTTTCTGTTTAATTTGGAGGGTGTGTCAAATGAAGGCACTAAACGAGGATTGTAGGCCTCCATAGGGATCAAAATCTTCATTATCAAGCTCATTTTTATCATAATTACTAAGGTTTATGCCATGTAAGCGATTACCTCATTTTTTGTTCCAAGGGAACTTTACTTCCATATGGGAAATATCGGAAGATCAGGTTTGCATCAACCTTATGGAGATGAGATTTTTCATTGCTTACCCCATCAGTAGCCAGAACCACAAATTCATCCTGCTTGGTTAATCTGCGATAGAAGACATCGGGAGCTGAGATGAGGCCATAATCTTTTAAGCAGAAGTCCCCAAAGGCTCTTGACATTGCTAGTCCAGGGCAGTCTTCATCCGGCATCCACATTCTGTACACATCAGGCTCTTCTTCTTCAGCGAAAATTCTGCCTTCACAGCTACGGATTCTTTCAGCTTCACCTGAGTGACAATCAAGAAGGAAAGCTAGTCAGACCCATGTGCTCGTCAGAATCAGGGATTTGAGGACAATGTAAAGACTTACTTGGAATATCTGGTTTCAAGTCAACAGTAAGTTGAACAGGAATGAGTTGATCTCTAGCTCCTCTCGTGCAAAGAACCGCACGAGAGTCACCCAAATTGCCAATTATCAGCTGGTCACCCTGAAATTTCAAAGGAGGAAAAGAAATCATGTAATGAATTGTTATCTTATGAACCAGATGACAACATAAACGCACTGAAAGGAATTCGTTGGGGGGGGGTATTTCGGCCCCAGAAATAAAATTCATATCTCGTCTAGACCTCCAATGACATCAATATATATTCTCAAAGAGTTGTATTATTCATAACTTGTGAATGCAAACCCAAAATGCTCATGTTGATGAGTATTGGTCAACTCATTTTAAGCAAAACACATATGTATCAAAAAAAAAAAAAATTCTCCTAGGGGTACCTGTTTGATTACAGTTACAGCAGTGCTACCGCTGTAAAAACTGTCGGTGTTAATGTCCTGAGCAATGGCTTGATCCATCTCGTTGAAGGATTTCAAGAAGGTGTTCTCCCATGAAGCAAGGGACAATGTTTGATGATTTCCACCTTCTGCAGCAGCATTTGCATCATTATACATGCATATCTTTTGCTTTGACATCTTGATTGCTGCAGAAAGCTTTGAGGGTAGACGTTTGCGTACATATCGAGCAACCACGTGCCCATAAGGACCGTGACCATCGAACACACCACAAAAGATCATATCTTTTTCTCCAGTGAAGTCCTAGTAACATATCATATCGAACATTAATCAGTACAAAACACAGGAATAAGATAAATCCATGCCTCTCTTGAGAAAGTTGTCCCCATTAATATCATCAAAGCATCATATAAAACGTATAACAACTCATGCTATTCGCAAGGTATAAATAATACAACTCATTTCATATTTTCTGTGAAGAAAAACTCAAGCTGTAGGCTCGCTTGATTAATGGGTCCTACTTGTGCTATTAAATTATCAGTCACATACAAAAGGATGTTGCTTCTAAGTTTCAGGGGCAATACAGCTTATGATCTTGCTGAAAAACATGATTAAGGAGCCATCAAAATTGACGAAATCACCAAAACAAGTTAAAGAATAAATGGTGTGAGAATCAATTGACCAGAAACACAGGCTTGGTATCATATAAAGAAATAATGGAAATTGTATCAAAATCAGAAGAATTTATATATACCTCCCAAACTGTCATTGCATCTTGATTGACCCCTTTTCTTCCCTGCTGGCTGTACATTGACACAAGCCTAGAGTGTCCTCTTAGCCTGACTCGCCCTTCACCTTCACTATATGTGGAAATGGAACTATGGTCCTCTCCATGCTCAAATTCTGTCTCATTCACCTCTTTTTCCATTGAATATGGACGAGGAACATTGTTACTACAACAATTCCCCATATCTAGAACCAAAACAACGGTATTTCCCAGAAGTAAAAATCACAAGGAAAAAGGGGACCCCTCCGAATTCTAAGGAATAACCGGAATAATTTCCTAGAAAACCACAGAGAAAGTGAAGGAAAATATTAAATTTTAGAGGGCAGAGCAGGCTAAGATTGATTGAAAAGCAGGGAGGAAAATGGGATGGAAACAGAAACTACAGAAACGGGGGAGAAGAACAAATATGCATGCGAAGACAGAAGAAGGTGAAGGGACATTGAAGAGAAGAAGTAATCATAATGGAAAAAAAGATTAAATCGCTACTGGGATTTGAGAAAAAGATGAAGAACAGGGCTCTTCAATGAATCGCCGGCGGGCAATCCTTAATGCAATTCTCACAAAGGAAGAGCAAAAAGGAAATGCAAAGATTAACGAAGTCTAAGGGATTCTCAAAAAGAGTTCGTTGCGCTGAAAATCATGTGGGAGAAAACGACAGCAAGGCATTACTCCTCTGAATTCTGAATGACCGTAACGAACATATATAATTGATTTTCTGCCATTAATTAATAATCATACGGAGATTGCCAGATAAGGACCACAACGTACATGGAAAAGAAAATGGCATGGAAGGACCGTAAATTTGCAAAATATCAAGGAAAATCAATGTTTTATAATCATAAAAATTTAAAAAAAAAAACCTCATGCAGCAATTTTTTTTTTTTTTTATAATTCTCAAAACGTCAGTTGTAAATCTCATGAATCTAATTATAAATCTTGAAGTTCTATTATATATAAATGAAAAATTATTGAAGTTTTGTAAATATAAAAAACTTAATTAAACCCTCAATTTATTTGTAAAAACACTTCATAATTTATAGTAGGTAAATTATATAACATAAACAAAACCTTTGATATGATTACATGTTATTTGTAATGAAATAGGGAATAATAGAAGAAAGATTTCTCCTTACACTAAAAAATAGGTGATATGTTAAGTACTGGAGGAAGTCTCTCAATTCTCTCTTTTCCGCATACCTATTGTTTTTCAAGTTATGATCTTTTATAAGATATCTCAAATTCATTCTATTCATTTCAATTTGTTTTAATAAGATTTAAATATTTTTCGTTTGCTTTTGATTTCACATAAAAGATTATCAAAACTATGATGATTTTGCGATGGAGTAAAATTAAACACACTTCTAATCAATGTAGTGTTTAATTGAGTATTCTAATAATTACTCGTCCGGTTCTAAACATAAGACCCTTATACACTAGTATAAGGGTCTTATATTTAGAATCAGAGGAGTATAGTTTTTCTTTTTTCTTTTTTTTTTGGGCCAGAGGCAAAAGGATAGGACAATATTCTTGGGAAAAGATCGTTGGGAAATGGGCATTTGGCTAAGGATAGGAGAATAAACAGAAGATTGACCAACTTGCTATTTTGGGCTTCTAAATTTGACCAACTTGCTTTTTTTTTTTTAAATCTTAAATTTTAAATGCTCCTCTATCTCAAAAATGAATTATCGGAATAAATGGAAATGGATGCATGCACTAAAATTAGTCCAGGCCATTAAATTTATTTTGATGTCAAGATAAGCATTCTTGTTCGGACACTATTTATTGCATTACCACACGAGCAGCTTTGATTTGAATATGGCTGCTGATGTGAAAGTTTTGTTCATAATTCATCTTCAAATGTTTTTATAAGCGTTTTTAAGGCCTCCCTTAACTCTATCACCAATTAATTTTCTCCGTACATTCTCTTTCAATATTTTTAACATTATCACTCTCTCTCTCTCATTTACCTACTTATAAATAAGGTCATATTTCAAAAAAAAAATACATTTCCCATATATTTATTATTTTTAACTCAAGGAAGTAATATTTTAGCTTAAAAAATTTAGAAGAATTCTGATTAAATTAGTTGAAATATCAAAATTCAAATTAAGGCCTACACGTTTAACAAATTAATTTGGCCAATAGGATTTATTAGGAATTTTTAAATATTGTTAAAAGACTAAAATTCTCTTTTATAATTTAATATAATATTATTTTGAAAAAAATTAAGTCATGAAAACTTGACATTATATAGTATTTATTTATACAAAATGTTTTGCATAAAAAAATTTGAAAAATACTGAGAGCAAAAAGTTGACAATGCATGATATAATATTTTATACTAATTCTGATATATTATAAGAAATTTATAGGAACAAAGACTTTTTTTGGTGATGGAAATAGGACCTTTTAATTTGATTTTAACATCACTAAATTAATCATTTTTGAGGGAAATTTTTTTTCTTATAGTTGAAAAATCAGAATCTTAATGTATTAGTATATTTCGGCATCAAATTTGTCATTTCTTAAGTACTTTGTTATAGATATAGATGTTCTCATCATGTTATATCTTATAATCTTATTGCTAAAGTTCTTACTAATAATTAATATGAGTTTGTATTAAAAATGTAAATAACTTTTTCAACATTTCATGGGAAGCATGGAGTAATATGAACTTCTTAATATAAATTTATAAAAAAAAAATCATGCATTTTACTCTTTTAACAATATTTGGAGTAAAAACCCATGAAGTTAACTGCTCATCTAGCGACATCTCAAGAAAACAGAATTTAGATCATAAATTAATTACAAATTACCAATTTGCTACTTTAAATGGATATTTTTCTTAATTAGAAATTTGTTAAAAGGTAGGCTTTAATTCAAATTTTGATATTTCAACTAGATTTGATTAGAATTCTTCCAAAAATTTTATGCCATCCAAACAAGTCAATTAATAAGATTAGAAAGTTAACCTTGGTATGCCACGTATCTGTCGCTAAACCCCCATATTTTCATTAATTTAACTATAATTATTTTTTCAGAATGATCATTGATCAAGCATCTCCCTATTGCAGGGGAGCCAAATAACGTTAAGGCACACACATGGCGGTCCCCACAAATATGACATGTGCGGATGGTGGCACGATCGAAGTGTGCGCGGAGCCCTCCAAGTTGAAAGTGATTGGGCTTTTATCCGTTGGACCACGTCAGGGTCAATATAGCCCTCCCCAAAATCTCATTATCACCCAGATATAGCCCTCCCCAAAAAGAAAATAAAATATTTAAAATATTATCATAATAAAATAAATATAGACACATTTTTCAATGTAATATACGGGAAATAATTTGCATCGTTCATGTATTTTAAATAGGAGTAATTGCTTATAAATTTTATTATATCTACTGTACTATATTAACGGGCAATGATCCTTGAAAATACAAAAATATCAATTTTTTGTGCTAATAATTAAGAAGATATTAAAAAATAATAATAAATCAAAGAGTTATATGAATTATTAAATGGGAAAATTACCATAAAGAAATAATTTAATCACCTAAAAGTCTGATACCAACTGAGAAGCGTGCAAAGAAATGAAATGTTATATTGTTCACTTGTTATTAAAAGGCTTTTTGATAAGTAAATTTCTTTTTTGACACTTTATAATAATTCTCACTTAATTAAATCCATTGCACAACTGTGATAGTAGTAGTATCTATCATGTACAATGAATTAAATGAAGTAATGAATAGTAAATCCAAGCCAAATCTAAAGCATGGGTTGTCAAGTTAGAAGAATAAATAAGAATACAGCAAACACAGTTTGGGAACCAAAGACAGAGGAGGACCCAACCTGTCCACATATCTGCCCACAAACCCACATTCTTTGGTACTTCATTCTCTCCTTTCACCATTCCCCACCATCCTTCCCCTTTACCCTCTCTCTCCTAATTTTGCTTTACAATTTCAGAATACATACTTGTTTATTAATTATATAAACAATGATTATATTTTCTGCTGTCAAAACAAGTTTAGATTCTTTGCTTTACAATTTCAGAATACATACTTGTTTATTAATTATATAAACAATGATTATATTTTCTGCTGTCAAAACAAGTTTAGATTCTTGAAACAACCAATCACAACAGTGTAGGTTTAGTGTTACATAAACTCTCCTAATCCTTGAACTGTCTCCCCTAATTTTTAGCCATCAGTGAAAACAGGAGTTTTACTTTTACCCCATGTTATCTCTGCATTTTTTTCACATCTAGATAATAACAGTGGCCCACATGAAAGGTGGAAATATCTTGGATGCTTTGGCTTTTGGATTTGGTTGAAAGTGTGTGATTGAAATGAATGTGGAGGTGGAATCTTGAACAAGCCAGCTAGGATGCAACCAATAATGGTCAACTTTGATATCTGTTTTCGCTGTCCCTCATAAATCTGCCCATACAAAGCTTCCTTCTTTCTTCCCCGTGCTTCAACCACCCATTGCCCTTTCCTCTCTAATCCTACCCCACACGCCTCAAAAAGCCTTCCTTGATTGACTCAATTGCTCCGCTCGACAAAACTTCATTAAAATATTCTTCTATACCACCCCAGCAACCACTCCAACTATTACTTTTAACTCTGTTTTATCATGTAGTACAAGTTCTGTTTAAGTTAGCATAAGCTGTCATATCATTCTCAGGGAAAATAAAACTGACTGCATTTCTCTCATTTCTGCAAATTCTGTTTGGGAAATTCGTCCAAGTTAGGTTTATGATAATCCTGACAATATTCAGCAGAGTAGATGGCTTAAAACTGAGAACCATTCCCTCCAGTTTCTCTGCGCCCAAGATCCAGCTACAGAATCAGACACTGGATGTCGTTGCAGGCTTGCAGACAAAGATTCTTCCCAATCTATTGGTATAGAGGAAGCCAGCTTTTACCAACCATATTTATGAATTCCTCATACTTGAATACCAAAAAGCAACAGGACTGGTTCTATCAGGAGAAGTTTTGAGCTCACCCTCCGTGGGTCATGATTGGCTGTGCATTTGGAAATGCTCGTGATAACTTTATTGTTCACGGATTAGAATGAAGATAATAATCTCTGACAATGAACAATGAAATTATCATAGGAGACCATAAAAAAGAAAGATTAAAAAGACCGCATTATCAATTCAGATACAAGACTACGATTTTTCGAATAAATAGGAGGTGTATGAAACAAATATAATTGACGTGAGCAGATGATTTGATTTTCAGTTGCACATGTTACAAGGGAAGAAATTTGAGACGCAAACGAATCTTGTCTATTGGTGAAACATGGAAGAAGCAAAAGAAAAACAAGAATGCTACAGAAGATGTTATCATCTATCAGAAGGTTACCACCATTGATGAACAAGAACTCCGCTTTGCCTCAGAGAAGTGAAGAGCTCCATGCATTGATCATATGTTTTCTCATACTTTGGACTCCTCTGCCCAGGGCAACATCTTTGCCATCTATTATAGTGGCATTCAAGAAAAATCTCGTCCACCAAACAAATAGCTCCTGTTTCGAATAATCTTGGAATCAGATCGAACTCTGTACCTTCCACGTCCATCTTCATGACAACAAAATCATTCTTTGAGACTGTGTTCTTCAACCAGTTTGCAAAATCAAACCCTTGGATCTTCTCAACTTCACCATCAAAATCAGCAGATGATGATGACTGCAACGGTTGAATCCTACCCATGCCTCTGCCCTTGACTTCAACATGCTCACCAGGATCCCGATGAATCTCAAAGGTTAGAGTCTCATTCTTTACCCAAGCAGCATAAGGAAGCAGAGTGATTCCCTTCTTCAAGCGATACTCTTGATGAAAAGTTTTATCAGCCTCAATTGCATACACATGAAAGGTCTTGTTCTGTTTTGGATACTGCTTCCTGAACCAACTTCCTATACTAGAGCCATAACTTCTAGCCCCAACATCGACATAAACATACCTCTTCTTGAAGCTTATATCAACCATTGATGGAAGGTACTTTATGTTCTTTATGTTCCTCTTCAAAGTAATCCACGGTTTCAGTGGCTCCTCAGTGATCAAAGGCTCTGCATTTCTGACCAATTCTTGTCTGTGCCCATGAGTAGAGCATTTCCCACTAGAATCATCATCGAATTTCTCAAACTCATGAACAATACCATCAAACTCTTTCCTCAAAACAATTTCGCGTATGTGAGGCATTGAAGAATCAAATCCATCTATATCATGCGTTTTAACTACTTTGAAATTAGTAAACAAATCAAGGAATGAATTGAAACTATACGTATCTTTAGCCTTTACATGGAACACCACAAACCCTTCGGGTTTTAGAGTCCGAGCAATCTCAGAGGCGAAATCTGAAGGTCGCGTCGATTTCTCGAGCCCGCCCTCGCCGGAAAAGATGAAGTCGAATGTGTTGTCGCGGAAGGGCATACGGTGAGCCTGTCCTGCTTTCACCAGTGGCTTCGAAGCTTTCTTTGCAATCCCAATCGCGTCCGAGACGCCGATCTCCTTCAATGCGAACACGTCGCGACCGGTCGGCGTCTCAACGCAGAGAGATTTCGACTCCGGCGAGAGATAGCCATAAGATACGTGATCCTTAAACACGGATGAGTAGAAACTAACGGCCTCATTCCACTCTTTACTCGAGTAAACCTCCGGTCGCGCCGCAGATCGGCTAACGATGGCCTCATTGGACTCGACAGCCAAAACCCCGGCGCCGGAGCCGGCGACGACAAAGTTGAGAGACTCCGGAAGGGAGAAGAAGCAGAAGTCGCCGACGTTGCAAGACTCGCCGGCGATGGTGATGACATAAGCAAACCGAACGACAATAATGAAAACCCCAAACAGAAGCAACCGTATGAGAATATTCCTGAGAAAGCCGGGCTTCGCAGCGGCAGTCTCCATTGCAGCAGATTTAACACCTTTCCGGAAGAAAAATTTGATTTCACGCAAGAATGCACAAAAAAATAAACAAATGAATGAAAGCCGGAGTTTTTCTTCTTTGGTGAAGAACTCAAGGAGAAAAAGAATGAAAGGTATGGTTTTCCAGGAAGAGAATTATCGGGAGGAGAAGCGAGCGGAGGTGTGGTTAGCGCCGATGAGGACGGGTCTTCTGGAAGAGAGGGAGGGAAATCTGGGGAAATAGAAAGCGGAAATAGGAGCAAAACGGGATGATGACATGGCTGCGAGAAATGGAGCGACCCTAGGAAGCAGAGAAGAGTGAGACCATTAGTGGGAGGTCTGTGCGAGAGCTGAGAGAAGTCAGTTTCAGGAGATGAGATTGTGGGGCTTGAGGAGAGTTTCTGCGGAGAAAAGAGATAAAGAAAAGGGAAGAAAGAAGAGAGATGAAGCAGTAACGCGGCGTGGAGGGGTGACCGGGATAGCTGGTTGCACGCGGTGAGAATGCGGATGGAGCTGCGCAGACGAAGGAAGCGTCTCCATCTCTGATTCCTCAATTGCCCTTCCTTTTCCCCTAAATGACGCAAATGGCATGGATTAAATAGTTCATGCCCATCTATCCAAATCAACTCACTAAAACTTTTTTGTTTTTTTTCCGAATAAGCAATATTTATTTTAATTAATTTTATTCTTCCATCCGCATTTGTTTGGTTCAGCCAAATGGTTGAGTGATACACTTTACGTCTATTTACAATAGTTTATAAATAATTTTTTAATAAAAACTTATAGAATACGAGATAAATATATAAGTTTTATCTTAATTTATGTAAAATTTGTTTATAAGTGATTTCAATCGTGATGGTTTTGCCATTGAATTAATCCGAATGAGATGTGGGCATTGAACATTACATATAATCTAAGATTATCTAAATACACTTATAATTCACGAATATAAAATTATGAAGTTTGGCTTATACATACATGTATAGATACATAGTAGGACACGTAGAGAGTTCCAGAAAGGCCAAGGGCCACGCCTTTCTATTCCATTTGACATAATGGATCATGATGAGACTGGATGGATCATGTGTAGATGGAGGAGTAGGTTTTATCATTCAAATTTAAAAAATTTTAAATTACCAATAGGGTTAGGTGTAGCAGAAGAAACTAGTCCCTTACAACGTGATGAATCAAAGTTTGAATCCCTGTTGCAAAAGGTACCCACATTTAGTATCCAACAGTGTCTCGAATAGGATTATCTTTAATAAGAGAATACTTGTGTTTTAAAAAAAATTAAAATTAATACTCATAATTCTTAGAACCGTATGAATCATTCTTTGGGATAATGATAAGTAACAACTAAAAGATGTGACATTTAATTGATTGGCATCATCTAATTGGCCAACATTGAAAAATAAACCCTTTTTTTATTTTTTAAAAAGAAAAAGGAAAGAGAAATAGTGGAGCAAGTAAAGAGGCAAGTCCATGCTGGTAACCTAATTGAAACAGTTGGCGCCACAAATTTCATGAAGGAAGATGATGACGCAATTCTACAAGCTTCCGTGTTAATTACATAATTAAATTCTAATTATAAGTAATTGCAATACCATTATAATGGTATAATAATCAACTGCTAATTGCTGAATTTAAACTAACATCAGGTCCGGATTCATTATTATTATGAAATTTAAGTGTGACGAAAATTGAAGTTGACGCCGGCTGACGTAAATCTTAATTTCAATTACGATGTGCTGATTAAGAACGGGAAGACGTCGTTGATAACAAATCTGGCAGTGTGTTTATGAGGGGGAGGCATGGTTCAGCTTTGAATATGGATTTGGTGTTGTAGGGTTTACGCAAATCTGCACGAGCCTTGTTCTCCGAGGAATCCCGTCCGTTCATAGCTTCGTCAAATTTTCCACGAGAATCATTAATGCGGAGCGTGAGAGATTTGATTGATTCCAACGCAGATTCTTTATAATCCAATTCACTTCTTTAAAAAGAAACATAAGCTTTTTTGAAAACAAGAAGTCTAAAAATAAAGATGATGCCTTGCGAGTTAAGTGATTTGATGCCGGGACCAAACGTATACGAGAATCTCGTTGCAAATTGTGCTCTTATTTTGAGAAAGTGAGTGGAATGAAAAAAAAAAAAAACATAAAACAAAATGAAAGTATATATTTGGTCTTTTAACTTTTACGGAAGGTTTCAGTTTAGTGCTCGTTTGGATTAGCGGTGAACAACTGTGATTTTAGATAATCGTGAATTTTATAAGTGATACTGGCTATAAGTGATACTAGTTAATCGTGATTTCTGTTTGGATTTTTTTTTATAAGTGATTTTAAGAATTGTGATTATGTTTGGTTTTTATTCGTTAAAATCACTTATGGGTATATAATTACTAAAAAGGACATGAAGTTAATAAAGTTGTTTACATTTTCATAATTATTATATTTAATAATAAATTTTATTAAATATAATTTAATAAATGACATGAATATTTAAATATTATTTTTATTTTAAAATTATTATTATTTGAAGTGGTTTAGCCGTTTAGGTTGAAAAATTGTAGGCAAAATATGTGGAGATAATATTTGAAGAGAGATTTGTGGAAGAGTAAATGGAGAGATATCATTTTAGATAAAATAACAATAATAAATATAAAAATAAGCTGAAAAATTATTTGTCATCATTATTTTCTTAATTTAACAATGCTCCTAGAATCAGAATATTACCTAAATATTTGATTGTGTTGTTTCAATCATATGTCATCCGTAATCTTATTTTTGTTTAGATAAAATTAAAAGAAAAATAGTTTCATATTGTATGTTTTTTTTAAAAAAATTTAAAATAATTACCATTAGAATGAGGGGTAGATTAGAGAAAATTTAGTTACTGAATATTCATCGGGATTTTTCAAACGCATAAACTATCTTTTATTGCTTATCCTAAAAGTGCGGTGGGAGGTTAAAATCACGATTCATCGGAATTCTATAAAAATTATCCAAACACCCTAACCATGCTTCATAAGCACTTATTTGAATTTAAACGGGCTTATTTGAGATCCCACCGCTTAACCAAACAGGCTCTTAATCTTTTAACTTTAAAATGTATACTTTCAGTCTTTTAATTTCAAAATTGTTAATCTTAAATGATGATTTTTTGTAACAATCGTAATTGTTTTGAACATTAAATTTAATATGTTAGTATTTGGTAATATTTTATCAGTATTCAAGAACTTAATATAATCATTTTTTGTTAATAATTTTAGAATTAAATGATTAAAAATTTACTTTTTAAAATTAAAAGATTAAAACAAAACGTTAAATGACTTAAAAATATACTTTAGCTAATAAAACAAAGAAGGGAACAAAAAGGAGAAAACGAGAACGGCACACAAGTATAATATGCCGAAATTAGAATAAGAGGAAATGTTCACGAAACATAAATTAAAAACTAAAAAAGAAATCTGAAGAAAGAAGCAAAAGTATAAAAAGGTCACAAATGGAAGAGGGATCAGAGAAATTCTCGTGCCCTGCAGACAGCAATTGGAAACCGGTGAATGAAATCTTTTTTGACGTTGAGCTTAGTACAAGAACTCATCACATCAAGTTTCAGTCTTAAAAAATTCTCAAATTTCAATTCGGTCAAACGGAACTCATGTTTATGAGGCTCTCTCTATTTATTTTAAGGTTAAAAGTATAATCTTAACTCCAATTTTATTTTTTATATACACTTAACATTCTGATCTTTTTATTTTGACACATTGAAAAATAAGATAATATTACTTTCGGTTTTAATTATAAGATCTCGTTTGTATATTACAAATAAAATCTTATACTCCTCTGATACTATAAAAATCTTATATTTAGAACCAAAATAATAATTAGAATCGGAGATAATAATAAAATTACGCTAAAAAAATATCACGAGTAAAAGAATGGATGTGATGAAGCATTTAGCACAGGGGTAAAATTACGCTTTTATTTTTATTTAAGTGATATGTTTAGAAATGTGTAGAGGGAAGCAGCCAAGCAGGACAGGCCGGCGCCACGCGTGAAAGGGGAGATTGCGTGGCAAAGGCAAACGGAGGTTACCGTTGACTGGCGGAGTCGGTGGTGGGCGTTTAGCGATCATTCCAGTGGGCGCAACATAAAACAGAAAAAGCCTGCGATAGCCGTTATTTTTACTTTTTTCCCCTGTTGTCTTCATTCCTCCCATTTAATAATGCCTGTCTTTTGCCAAAACTAATCTCCTTTTTTTAATATAAATATACAAATAACTGAATTATAACCTATTTTTCAAAAACACTTTTGTTTGTGAAAAAATAGAGAGGAGAGATAATGAATAGAAAATATGAAAGACAACGAGTAAGATAAAAATAAAAAACATGTAACTAATAAAAAAGCAAAAATAAAAAATGCGTTAAATACTTAGATACATTTGAAATTAGTTTATAAAGAAAAAAATATCCATTCCAAAAATTGTGACTAAGAAGGGGTAGTAACTCTCCGATTAGAACTTATACAAACTTCTAATTCAAACATCTTGTTATTTAAAATTGTAAACTTTTTATCCCTGTCTTAAATATGAGATTTTTTTAATGAATTGTTAAAATTCTAAAAAAAAAAAAGATGGCTATTTTTAATTAATATGTAAAAATTTTAGGACAAATTGATAAAATAATTTTATCTTTAAAAAAATTTGATATTTTCGTATGCATTTTGCATGATATTGTTATGTGTTTCATGGTGAATTCACTTAGGAAACAAAAGAAAGTGCATGGCTAAACTCAAGCTTTGAATGATATAATAGAATGTGAAAATGTGTGATTTTCAATAAAGTTAGATTTCATCCTAAATAGATGTTGTGTCTACAAATATGGAAAGAGATCACATAGGAAGAAATGAACAAAAACCATAGAGAGCGATGGGGATAGTTTTGACAGTTATCAACGTTGCGTTTCTCAATATTCCCAAGTCTCAAGACATAGCGAATAATTATTATTTTTTAATCACAGCAAATGTGCTCATTATATTTTTTTATGCAAAAGCATACCTTTGCTCATTTAATTTTATACAAGGTATTTGGTTTGTCAGATTTAAAAAGTATATTTTTAGTTACCTAACTCTAAAATTGTTGATAAAAAATAATGATATTAAGATTTTAAGTGTTGATAAATCGTTATCAAATAATAATATAATATATTAGATTTAATTTTTAAAATAACCATGATTATTACAAAAAATATTATTTAAAATTTAAAGAATTAAATTGAAACACTGTATAAAGTTAAAAAACTAAATATGTGGCTTTATTTATTTCTTAAAGAGGGGTTCAACACGTGACCTTGCACATTTTAAAAAAAAAATTTAAAAACCATC